CATACCATCCATACCACCATACGTTACGATACACTTTATTGTCCCCGTAAGGACATTTGTTCTGGACTCCTTCCTGCAGTTACGCAAGCAGTGGTGGGCCGTCAGCAGGGTCTTCTCTGCTCGCCCTGTAACCAATCACATGAAGTGTGTGTAGAATGTTTTTCATGAATATTTAGTTATACATTTTAATAGTATAATAACCTCAACATTACAGAATGAAGTAAGGTTTTGTTGAGGCTGAACTGGAATTCCCCACATCAAAAAGTCACTTGAACGCCTCACGGTTATTTTAGTTGGCACAACAGATACTGCTAGCCTTTTGTTGAAAGACGACACATTTGATTGGTAACAAGCATTAATGACAGATTCATCAGCCAATCAGATGTTGGTGTCCAATGACAGCGTCCTGAGCTAAACTTCTGTCATGAACGTCCTTCGTAGCATCGACCTTATTTACAAGTGACGGGTGAGCACGTTACTATTCGCGCCCTTTTAGAGCGACGTGAGAGTGCACGATGACACGAGTTTAATAATAGATTACTTCACTGATCAATGTTGGGACATGTCGTCTGCATTGAACCCTCATCTAGCTGACTGTTGTGATTGTTGACCAGCTGTTGTGATTGTTGACCAGCTGTTGTGATTGTTGACCAGCTGTTGTGATTGTTGACCAGCTGTTGTGATTGTTGATCAGCTGTTGTGATTGTTGATCAGCTGTTGTGATTGTTGATCAGCTGTTGTGATTGTTGATCAGCTGTTGTGATTGTTGATCAGCTGTTGTGGTTGTTGATCAGCTGTTGTGGTTGTTGATCAGCTGTTGTGATTGTTGATCAGCTGTTGTGATTGTTGATCAGCTGTTGTGATTGTTGATCAGCTGTTGTGATTGTTGATCAGCTGTTGTGATTGTTGATCAGCTGTTGTGGTTGTTGATCAGCTGTTGTGGTTGTTGATCAGCTGTTGTGATTGTTGATCAGCTGTTGTGATTGTTGATCAGCTGTTGTGGTTGTTGATCAGCTGTTGTGATTGTTGATCAGCTGTTGTGATTGTTGACCAGCTGTTGTGATTGTTGATCAGCTGTTGTGGTTGTTGACCAGCTGTTGTGATTGTTGATCAGCTGTTGTGATTGTTGATCAGCTGTTGTGATTGTTGATCAGCTGTTGTGGTTGTTGATCAGCTGTTGTGGTTGTTGATCAGCTGTTGTGATTGTTGATCAGCTGTTGTGATTGTTGATCAGCTGTTGTGATTGTTGATCAGCTGTTGTGATTGTTGATCAGCTGTTGTGATTGTTGACCAGCTGTTGTGGTTGTTGATCAGCTGTTGTGATTGTTGATCAGCTGTTGTGATTGTTGATCAGCTGTTGTGGTTGTTGATCAGCTGTTGTGATTGTTGATCAGCTGTTGTGATTGTTGATCAGCTGTTGTGGTTGTTGATCAGCTGTTGTGGTTGTTGATCAGCTGTTGTGATTGTTGATCAGCTGTTGTGATTGTTGATCAGCTGTTGTGATTGTTGATCAGCTGTTGTGATTGTTGATCAGCTGTTGTGATTGTTGACCAGCTGTTGTGATTGTTGATCAGCTGTTGTGATTGTTGATCAGCTGTTGTGATTGTTGATCAGCTGTTGTGGTTGTTGATCAGCTGTTGTGATTGTTGATTCAGCTGTTGTGATTGTTGATCCAGCTGTGTGATTGTTGACCAGCTGTTGTGATTGTTGACCAGCTGTTGTGATTGTTGACCAGCTGTTGTGATTGTTGACCAGCTGTTGTGATTGTTGACCAGCTGTTGTGATTGTTGACCAGCTGTTGTGATTGTTGACCAGCTGTTGTGATTGTTGACCAGCTGTTGTGATTGTTGACTCAGCTGTTGTGATTGTTGATCAGCTGTTTGTGATTGTTGATCAGCGTGTGGTTGTTGATCAGCTGTTGTGATTGTTGATCAGCTGTTGTGGTGTTGATCAGCTGTTGTGGTTGTTGATCAGCTGTTGTGGTTGTTGATCAGCTGTTGTGGTTGTTGATAGCTGTTGTGGTGTGATCAGCTGTTGTGGTTGTTGATCAGTTGTTGATCAGCTGGTGTGGTTGTTGATCAGCTGTTGTGATTGTTGATCAGCTGTTGTGATTGTTGACCAGCTGTTGTGATTGTTGATCAGCTGTTGTGATTGTTGACCAGCTGTTGTGATTGTTGACCAGCTGTTGTGATTGTTGACCAGCTGTTGTGATTGTTGACCAGCTGTTGTGATTGTTGATCAGCTGTTGTGATTGTTGATCAGCTGTTGTGATTGTTGATCAGCTGTTGTGATTGTTGACCAGCTGTTGTGATTGTTGACCAGCTGTTGTGATTGTTGACCAGCTGTTGTGATTGTTGATCAGCTGTATGTGATTGTTGACCAGCTGTTGTGATTGTTGACCAGCTGTTGTGATTGTTGATCAGCTGTTGTGATTGTTGATCAGCTGTTGTGATTGTTGACCAGCTGTTGTGATTGTTGACCAGCTGTTGTGATTGTTGATCAGCTGTTGTGATTGTTGACCAGCTGTTGTGATTGTTGACCAGCTGTTGTGATTGTTGATCAGCTGTTGTGATTGTTGACCAGCTGTTGTGATTGTTGACCAGCTGTTGTGATTGTTGATCAGCTGTTGTGATTGTTGATCAGCTGTTGTGGTTGTTGATCAGCTGTTGTGATTGTTGACCAGCTGTTGTGATTGTTGATCAGCTGTTGTGATTGTTGACCAGCTGTTGTGATTGTTGACCAGCTGTTGTGGTTGTTGATCAGCTGTTGTGATTGTTGATCAGCTGTTGTGATTGTTGATCAGCTGTTGTGGTTGTTGATCAGCTGTTGTGATTGTTGATCAGCTGTTGTGGTTGTTGATCAGCTGTTGTGATTGTTGACCAGCTGTTGTGATTGTTGACCAGCTGTTGTGGTTGTTGACCAGCTGTTGTGATTGTTGACCAGCTGTTGTGGTTGTTGACCAGCTGTTGTGGTTGTTGATCAGCTGTTGTGGTTGTTGATCAGCTGTTGTGATTGTTGATCAGCTGTTGTGGTTGTTGACCAGCTGTTGTGGTTGTTGACCAGCTGTTGTGATTGTTGACCAGCTGTTGTGGTTGTTGACCAGCTGTTGTGATTGTTGATCAGCTGTTGTGATTGTTGATCAGCTGTTGTGATTGTTGACCAGCTGTTGTGATTGTTGACCAGCTGTTGTGATTGTTGACCAGCTGTTGTGATTGTTGATCAGCTGTTGTGATTGTTGATCAGCTGTTGTGGTTGTTGACCAGCTGTTGTGGTTGTTGACCAGCTGTTGTGATTGTTGACCAGCTGTTGTGGTTGTTGACCAGCTGTTGTGATTGTTGATCAGCTGTTGTGATTGTTGATCAGCTGTTGTGATTGTTGACCAGCTGTTGTGATTGTTGACCAGCTGTTGTGATTGTTGATCAGCTGTTGTGATTGTTGACCAGCTGTTGTGATTGTTGACCAGCTGTTGTGATTGTTGATCAGCTGTTGTGATTGTTGACCAGCTGTTGTGATTGTTGACCAGCTGTTGTGATTGTTGATCAGCTGTTGTGGTTGTTGATCAGCTGTTGTGATTGTTGACCAGCTGTTGTGGTTGTTGATCAGCTGTTGTGATTGTTGACCAGCTGTTGTGATTGTTGATCAGCTGTTGTGGTTGTTGATCAGCTGTTGTGATTGTTGACCAGCTGTTGTGGTTGTTGATCAGCTGTTGTGGTTGTTGATCAGCTGTTGTGGTTGTTGATCAGCTGTTGTGGTTGTTGATCAGCTGTTGTGGTTGTTGATCAGCTGTTGTGGTTGTTGACCAGCTGTTGTGGTTGTTGACCAGCTGTTGTGATTGTTGACCAGCTGTTGTGGTTGTTGACCAGCTGTTGTGATTGTTGATCAGCTGTTGTGATTGTTGATCAGCTGTTGTGGTTGTTGATCAGCTGTTGTGATTGTTGACCAGCTGTTGTGGTTGTTGATCAGCTGTTGTGGTTGTTGATCAGCTGTTGTGATTGTTGACCAGCTGTTGTGATTGTTGACCAGCTGTTGTGGTTGTTGACCAGCTGTTGTGATTGTTGACCAGCTGTTGTGGTTGTTGACCAGCTGTTGTGATTGTTGACCAGCTGTTGTGGTTGTTGACCAGCTGTTGTGGTTGTTGATCAGCTGTTGTGGTTGTTGATCAGCTGTTGTGGTTGTTGACCAGCTGTTGTGGTTGTTGACCAGCTGTTGTGGTTGTTGACCAGCTGTTGTGATTGTTGACCAGCTGTTGTGGTTGTTGATCAGCTGTTGTGGTTGTTGACCAGCTGTTGTGGTTGTTGATCAGCTGTTGTGGTTGTTGATCAGCTGTTGTGGTTGTTGACCAGCTGTTGTGGTTGTTGACCAGCTGTTGTGATTGTTAATGTGAGGGTCATTTGATTGTGGCTGGAACAGAGGCGTGTAAAGTGAGTGTACTGTATGTGCTTTTCAATGTGTTGACTGAAGGCCTTGTCTAAAGCCCCACGGTACGCCACTGCATACATGTACATATACAAACATATTAAACATTGAAATACATCCACATATCATCACTCATGCACCTACTGACAATGGCGACCTGTTGCACAACCCTCATGGCCAGCATTTAAAAGTATATTCCATCACATGTGAGTGTTGAGAAGCTCGATGGACATACTGTAGGCAGGAGCGAGTGCTTATAGAGGTACGGACACTGCAGCAAGTTAAACACTATTGTGGCTTCTTTTCTAATTCTCTATCAAGCCACTAGACGCCTTAAACAGACATTTTTAACTTGTTTTTTTCCTTTATATTCGTGTTACTCACAGTTTAATGAGTTGCTCAAAATAAAATAACAAACTTTTACACATGCAACAAAATAGAGGGGTTTGAGGCTAGCATGGGTGATCTGTCTGGTATTTTGAGCACTTCATAGACATGTTTTTTATATATTTTTATATATCTGAGACCTATAATATTTGCCTAAAAACAGTGTAATAGGAGACCTTTGTGTTGTTTTCTCCCAGCTGCGTCTCAGCGGGGGCAGAAACCCCTTCGAGGGCCGGGTGGAGGTCCTGATGGAGAGGAACGGGTCCCTGGTCTGGGGCACGGTGTGCAGCGAGGGCTGGGGCACGATGGAGGCCATGGTGGTCTGCAGGACGCTGGGACTCGGGTTCGCCAGCAACGCCTTCCAGGTACCCTCACACATCCTTCACTCAAGTACAAGTACACATACTCGTGTTTAAAAGTAGAAGTACTGACTAAACTTCTTTACTCAAGTCAAAGTAAAGAGCTTTGAAATGTACTTCAGTAAAAAGTACCCATAACTAGCAGCTGCTTTAAAGAGTACCTGACCTCCCTTTATATTAATAGAACAATAATGTCATTGTTAGCTAATGAATGTTTCCATGCTGAACAACGGCAACATGACAACGTTTCCATTGGTCCCTCTTCTTTAGAGAAGACCAGCAAATGATGGATACACGGATCGTGTTCAAATCAATAGGCACGCAATGACTCTAAAGAATAATGATCACGCATCAAACACACATTCAGACTAAAGGAACCAGCTGTTTGGAAAATGAGAGAAGTAGAAAGTACAAGTATTTGGGTTCAACATGTAAGAAGTAGAAAGTACAGGTATTTGAGTTCAACATGTGAGAAGTAGAAAGTACAGGTATTTGAGTTCAACATGTAAGAAGTAGAAAGTACAGGTATTTGAGTTCAACATGGAAGAAGTAGAAAGTACAGGTATTTGAGTTCAACATGTAAGAAGTAGAAAGTACAGGTATTTGAGTTCAACATGTAAGAAGTAGAAAGTACAGGTATTTGAGTTCAACATGTAAGAAGTATAAAGTACAGGTATTTGGGTTCAACATGTAAGAAGTAGAAAGTACAGGTATTTGTGTTCAACATGTAAGAAGTAGAAAGTACAAGTATTTGAGTTCAACATGTAAGAAGTAGAAAGTACAGGTATTTGTGTTCAACATGGAAGAAGTAGAAAGTACAAGTATTTGGGTTCAACATGTAAGAAGTAGAAAGTACAGGTATTTGAGTTCAACATGTAAGAAGTAGAAAGTACAGGTATTTGTGTTCAACATGGAAGAAGTAGAAAGTACAAGTATTTGGGTTCAACATGTAAGAAGTAGAAAGTACAGGTATTTGAGTTCAACATGTGAGAAGTAGAACGTACAGGTATTTGGGTTCAACATGTAAGAAGTAGAAAGTACAGGTATTTGTGTTCAACATGTAAGAAGTAGAAAGTACAGGTATTTGGGTTCAACATGTAAGAAGTAGAAAGTACAGGTATTTGAGTTCAACATGTAAGAAGTAGAAAGTACAGGTATTTGAGTTCAACATGTAAGAAGTAGAAAGTACAGGTATTTGAGTTCAACATGTAAGAAGTAGAAAGTACAGGTATTTGAGTTCAACATGTGAGAAGTAGAAAGTACAGGTATTTGAGTTCAACATGTAAGAAGTAGAAAGTACAGGTATTTGAGTTCAACATGTAAGAAGTAGAAAGTACAGGTATTTGAGTTCAACATGTAAGAAGTAGAAAGTACAGGTATTTGAGTTCAACATGTAAGAAGTAGAAAGTACAGGTATTGAGTTCAACATGTAAGAAGTAGAAAAGTACAGGTATTTGAGTTCAACATGTGAGAAGTAGAAAGTACAGGTATTTGAGTTCAACATGTGAGAAGTAGAAAGTACAGGTATTTGTGTTCAACATGTAAGAAGTAGAAAGTACAGGTATTTGTGTTCAACATGTAGAAGTAGAAAGTACAGGTATTTGTGTTCAACATGTAAGAAGTAGAAAGTACAGGTATTTGTGTTCAACATGTAAGAAGTAGAAAGTACAGGTATTGAGTTCAACATGTAAGAAGTAGAAAGTACAGGTATTTGGGTTCAACATGTAAGAAGTAGAAAGTACAGGTATTTGAGTTCAACATGTAAGAAGTAGAAAAGTACAGGTATTTGGGTTCAACATGTGAGAAGTAGAAAGTACAGGTATTTGGGTTCAACATGTAAGAAGTAGAAAGTACAGGTATTTGGGTTCAAACATGTAAGAAGTAGAAAGTACAGGTATTTGGGTTCAACATGTAAGAAGTAGGAAAGTACAGGTATTTGGGTTCAACATGTAAGAAGTAGAAAGTACAGGTATTTGAGTTCAACATGTGAGAAGTAGAAAGTACAGGTATTGTGTTCAACATGTAAGAAGTAGAAAGTACAGGTATTTGTGTTCAACATGTAAGAAGTAGAAAGTACAGGTATTTGGGTTCAACATGTAAGAAGTAGAAAGTACAGGTATTTGAGTTCAACATGTGAGAAGTAGAAAGTACAGTATTTGAGTTCAACATGTAAGAAGTAGAAAGTACAGGTATTTGGGTTCACATGTAAGAAGTAGAAAGTACAGGTATTTGAGTTCAACATGTAAGAAGTAGAAAGTACAGGTATTTGTGTTCAACATGTAAGAAGTAGAAGTACAGGTATTTGTGTTCAACATGTAAGAAGTAGAAAGTACAGGTATTTGGGTTCAACATGTAAGAAGTAGAAAGTACAGGTATTTGAGTTCAACATGTGAGAAGTAGAAAGTACAGGTATTTGAGTTCCAACATGTAAGAAGTAGAAAGTACAGGTATTTGGGTTCAACATGTAAGAAGTAGAAAGTACAGGTATTTGAGTTCAACATGTAAGAAGTAGAAAAGTACAGGTATTTGGGTTCAACATGTGAGAAGTAGAAAGTACAGGTATTTGAGTTCAACATGTAAGAAGTAGAAAGTACAGGTATTTGGGTTCAACATGTAAGAAGTAGAAAGTACAGGTATTTGAGTTCAACATGTAAGAAGTAGAAAGTACAGGTATTTGAGTTCAACATGTGAGAAGTAGAAAGTACAGGTATTTGTGTTCAACATGTAAGAAATAGAAAGTACAGGTATTTGGGTTCAACATGTAAGAAGTAGAAAGTACAGGTATTTGAGTTCAACATGTGAGAAGTAGAAAGTACAGGTATTTGTGTTCAACATGTGAGAAGTAGAAAGTACAGGTATTTGAGTTCACATGTAAGAAGTAGAAAGTAAGGTATTTGTGTTCAACATGTGAGAAGTAGAAAGTACAGGTATTTGTGTTCAACATGTGAGAAGTAGAAAGTACAGGTATTTGTGTTCAACATGTAAGAAGTAGAAAGTACAGGTATTTGAGTTCAACATGTAAGAAGTAGAAAGTACAGGTATTTGTGTTCAACATGTGAGAAGTAGAAAGTACAGGTATTTGTGTTCAACATGTAAGAAGTAGAAAGTACAGGTATTTGGGTTCAACATGTAAGAAGTAGAAAGTACAGGTATTTGAGTTCAACATGTGAGAAGTAGAAAGTACAGGTATTTGAGTTCAACATGTAAGAAGTAGAAAGTACAGGTATTTGGGTTCAACATGTAAGAAGTAGAAAGTACAGGTATTTGAGTTCAACATGTGAGAAGTAGAAAGTACAGGTATTTGTGTTCAACATGTAAGAAGTAGAAAGTACAGGTATTTGAGTTCAACATGTGAGAAGTAGAAAGTACAGGTATTTGGGTTCAACATGTAAGAAGTAGAAAGTACAGGTATTTGAGTTCAACATGTGAGAAGTAGAAAGTACATGTATTTGAGTTCAACATGTAAGAAGTAGAAAGTTCAGGTATTTGAGTTCAACATGTAAGAAGTAGAAAGTACAGGTATTTGGGTTCAACATGTAAGAAGTAGAAAGTACAGGTATTTGAGTTCAACATGTGAGAAGTAGAAAGTACAGGTATTTGTGTTCAACATGTGAGAAGTAGAAAGTACAGGTATTTGTGTTCAACATGTAAGAAGTAGAAAGTACAGGTATTTGGGTTCAACATGTAAGAAGTAGAAAGTACAGGTATTTGAGTTCAACATGTGAGAAGTAGAAAGTACAGGTATTGGGTTCAACATGTAAGAAGTAGAAAGTACAGGTATTTGAGTTCAACATGTGAGAAGTAGAAAGTACAGGTATTTGTGTTCAACATGTGAGAAGTAGAAAGTACAGGTATTTGTGTTCAACATGTGAGAAGTAGAAAGTACAGGTATTTGTGTTCAACATGTAAGAAGTAGAAAGTACAGGTATTTGGGTTCAACATGTAAGAAGTAGAAAGTACAGGTATTTGAGTTCAACATGTGAGAAGTAGAAAGTACAGGTATTTGGGTTCAACATGTAAGAAGTAGAAAGTACAGGTATTTGAGTTCAACATGTGAGAAGTAGAAAGTACAGGTATTTGTGTTCAACATGTAAGAAGTAGAAAGTACAGGTATTTGGGTTCAACATGTAAGAAGTAGAAAGTACAGGTATTTGAGTTCAACATGTAAGAAGTAGAAAGTACAGGTATTTGTGTTCAACATGTGAGAAGTAGAAAGTACAGGTATTTGTGTTCAACATGTGAGAAGTAGAAAGTACAGGTATTTGTGTTCAACATGTGAGAAGTAGAAAGTACAGGTATTTGAGTTCAACATGTGAGAAGTAGAAAGTACAGGTATTTGGGTTCAACATGTAAGAAGTAGAAAGTACAGGTATTTGGGTTCAACATGTAAGAAGTAGAAAGTACAGGTATTTGGGTTCAACATGTAAGAAGTAGAAAGTACAGGTATTTGAGTTCAACATGTAAGAAGTAGAAAGTACAGGTATTTGTGTTCAACATGTGAGAAGTAGAAAGTACAGGTATTTGTGTTCAACATGTGAGAAGTAGAAAGTACAGGTATTTGTGTTCAACATGTGAGAAGTAGAAAGTACAGGTATTTGAGTTCAACATGTGAGAAGTAGAAAGTACAGGTATTTGGGTTCAACATGTAAGAAGTAGAAAGTACAGGTATTTGAGTTCAACATGTAAGAAGTAGAAAGTACAGGTATTTGAGTTCAACATGTAAGAAGTAGAAAGTACAGGTATTTGGGTTCAACATGTAAGAAGTAGAAAGTACAGGTATTTGAGTTCAACATGTGAGAAGTAGAAAGTACAGGTATTTGAGTTCAACATGTGAGAAGTAGAAAGTACAGGTATTTGGGTTCAACATGTAAGAAGTAGAAAGTACAGGTATTTGAGTTCAACATGTGAGAAGTAGAAAGTACAGGTATTTGTGTTCAACATGTAAGAAGTAGAAAGTACAGGTATTTGGGTTCAACATGTAAGAAGTAGAAAGTACAGGTATTTGA